CACCACTCACTGGCTATTGCAGGAGTTCTTAGCCTGCGGCAAGCTGAAAATGAAGGGTTAGACTATACAGAGCAGGAAGGTTATGCTTCTAATAACAAATGTTTGCTTTCAAGAAGAGGGCAGCTGAGGCCATAAAGGGAGAGTCCACGTTGAAAAGACATTTGAGCAACAATTCGTCTTTACAAATATAATGTTATATATGTATATATACATATAATTTCAAGAATATTCCATCTTAAGAGTAGAACATGAACATTAAACCTGAACTGATCTGATTAGTTTTGACTTTTGACTTTTATATTCAGTATATTCTTGAAAAATAATCAAGTTTACTTTGATGTGAACTTTAATTTGGAGCTGGAGTTATTAGTTGATTAATCTGCAACAATTTTGATAGTTACACCTAGTGGCCAGTTAGCTTAGCTCATCTCAGTGTAAAGACTGGAAACAGGGGGAAATAGCTTTAATTAACACATTATTTGCTTAATTCTTACAAAGCAAACGCAATGCACTGGCACACTATCTCTTAGCCTTGACCAGTAACTTCCTGGCCTGGTTACCTGGTAATTCGTTCCTTAATGTTGTTACCTCAGTTCCCCCAGTCTTTATGCTAAGCTAAGCTAGCCAGCTGCTGACTTCAGCTACATATTTGCCTTACAGACAGGACATTGGTATCAATCTTCTCATCTAATTCTCAGCAAAACTTGAAAAAAACTTTAATCAGGCTAACAGCAAGCGCTGCATTTCCACTGTTGCCTTATTTCTCACATGTCCAATGGCTTCAGCATACGGCTAGCAGAGCGGTGTTACAAAAAGCACTGACCATGCATAAATGGCCGCCGTTCTAACGTACAGGGGCCCCTAGTGTCCCTGACCATGGTGATAAATCCCATTGCAGTAAGCAGAGTACAGATGCTGAGGCAGCAGAGATGAGGCAGAATAGAAACCACAGACAAAGTGATGCTAGCTGAGTGAGACCCACTCCAACTATTATCAGAGAGCTACGTGTCCTTTTATCTCTGTTGATGACTGTTTCCACATTCTATCACAAGAGGAACTTGACTAAAGTGAAACAGTTTAATTGGTTTAATAAAATGTAGCTTACTTCTAGTAAACTACTTTTACAACTTTTTATACAAGCCAAAAGTAAAAAAAAGCTCTCTTTACTTTTGTCATTCAGGAAAAACAAACCCACAAATAGAGCTTGATCAAAAAGCACTTTTAAGGAATACTTTTAAATTAAACATAGAAAGTCGTACTTAACTACTTCTGAAGCTCCTATAACACATTTCACAATGATAAAGGAACAAAGTATGAACCTTATGTTAGTGTGATTAATGACAGCGCACATCTTCAGCTTCTTTCTGTCTGATTCAAGGTGTAATTCAGCCTTATGCTGAGTCATATGCTGACCATTCATTGGTGTGAGGGGAACAGCAAGAAATTACACTTCCACGATTGCACCAACTCAAGAGGAACAGGCAACAAGAGGGAATAAGTAGAAAGTATCGCTATATATCACCGTGAAACACAATATTCTCTGTATATGTGAGAAAGAGAGAAGAAAACTGGACTGTGTGGTTAGTGTCTTACCTGACACAGAGTAGCTGCTGGGAGAGTTGTGAATGTCACTATCAGGTAATCCATCACGGAGCCAGCGGATCTGAACGGGGTCCGGAGGTCCTACCGCCTCACATGTCAGAGTGAAAGGTTCGTTTCTTGTTACGTTCCTGTCCTCTGGCTGATGGATAAATGTCGGTAGACCTGTAACAGACCAATCAAAGATGTGTTATGAACAATGTGGACGCCCCATGAAGTACCCAACGCTACCCAGTTCATCACGCTGAAACTCACCGTCCACCTCGATGATGATCGGCTGAGACTCGACCATTCTGTTGTTGATACTCAGTCTGCAGCGATACTCCCCAGCATCCGCTCGCTGCACACGGTTGATGCTGTAACACAGTACATTAGGACACTTGTCAGTCTGCATAATCAGCCTGTCACACACACGTTAACACCACCATGTTTTACACACCTGACAGTGGAGAGGAGAGTCGTGACCCCGTCTGTGAAGGTCTGGAGCTCGTTGATCAACACCTGTATGTTTTCTGCCAGGTCCTGGCCATCCTTCACCCAGACGATGGTGGCCTCCTGCCTGGCGTCGGGGATGTCGATGGAGCAGTTGAATTTAGCCTCATGGCCATCTGATAGCTGGATGGTGCCTACGGTGGGCTTGAAGTGAAGTCGTCTGAGCTGATCCGGGGTCAGATAAACCCTTGAAACACGGCCCACTATCACAAGAGGATCAGAGGTCCTTGTCAGATGGTGGGACCGGCGACTAGAATGCTGAGCTGTTTACAGAGGGAGACGTTAGATCTCTCTTATACTGACTGATGTAACATCAGCAGGATACAGAATGAAAAGTATGGTTTCTGCTTTGCAATAAAGAACGCGTTTAATCATGTCGAGCTTTGAACGTTCTGCCTGGGAGTTCAAAGATTAAGATTTGATTTGTTGAAGATTTGACATCAAGTGTGACAGAATGAGGAAAATGTTTCCATCCAAAATGTTCATAAAACCACCATAAAGCAGCAATCAAAGACCACAAGTCTGCCACATTTATTTTCATATTAAATGTGTCTGTCTATTGATTTTTCAAATAATCGATTAATCATTATAATCATTATAAAATGTCAGAAAATACTGAAAAATCACATGTATTCAGAGCCCAAAGTGACGTCTTGAGATAAGATAAGATAGACTTCATAGAATTCACTTGTTACAGTAGCTCCACATGTGTAACACAGCAGATAAGAAAAAAAAGAAATACACAAGTAGAAAAAATACAAGATACAACAGCGCAAAACTTAATGATACAATGTTATAAAACAGAGAAAACAGCAAGAAAACAGCAAGTCTTAGCATTTGAAAAAAAGATTAAATGAAAATACCTGCCAAAAATTTTCTGTAATTGATTAATCAGTTTCACAAATCATCAGTTTTGATTGTTAAAAAAGAGAGAAAATACATATATTCTGTATTTTTAAAAAGGCATGAATAGTACAATTATGCCACAACATTAAAAAAAAAACAACTTAAAAACTGTTTATCCACTGAGTGTTTTCATGAAGTATGGCTCTTTACCAGATGGGTAGCCTATTTTGATGTGTTTTCTACTGTCACCATTCCAGCCCACAGCCACATTTTTATGACTGTAATTAAGAAGAAGCTTCAGTAAGATACACATTCAGTGCAATGAAACACATTCAGGACTTAAGATGTGTTAAAGACTTTCTGTAAGTCAGAAATCCTTAAAGCTTTTCCAGCGGTCGGATATAAAGCTATTTAAATGAGTATTTAAATCTCTTCCAGCTGCAGTCTCTCATACAGAGTTAAAGAGTCTCTCCCTGGCTGTACACTAGACCGAGTTCAGCCTGAGATCTCCAACTTTGAGGGACATGAAGTTAACGTTAAAGAGGCAAAACACAGACCTCCAAGGAAAATAAACAACTCACCGCTGACCGGACTCCCCACAATAATGCCTATGGTCGCTGCACAGAGAAAAAGTCCAAACCAGTATGGAGTTGACTTTATTGCCATGACCAAAAGTCTGAGCTGTCCACTGTTGTCTTTCTGCTGTCCCGCGACAACAGCCTGACAAAAACACGTCCCCGTTCTTTATTCTAAACGGATTGAGCGGCACCGACAATGAGCAACATCCCCCGCTGGAGTGGCTTCAACGCGGCTTGTGTTGAGGAGCTGTTGACCCGAGATCAAGATTCAGATTCAGCTGGAGAGAGAGAGAGAGAGAGAGAGAGAGAGAGAGAGAGAGAAAGTTTACTTTTTCCGACGTCACACTAGGTCCCATGAAGGCGGGACTAGAGAAAGAGTGGAAATGCACATAAACACTAAAAACCACCAAAACACAGCAGAAAAACAACACATAAATAGAGCTGCTGGAACTAAAAAAAAACAGTTTTAACTGTTTATATTTTTTTTTTTCTTATTATGTCTGTTCGTCGTCTTCTCTTTTTTGAGAAAAGAAAATGATAACCTTATACATATAACCTTCTTATCTTATATTAGGCATTAAGAACATGTATGTAGCCTAACAACACACAAATAGACTGACACGGTAGGTGATCTCTTTTATTTTTAATTACATAATCCCAAAAAACCCTTAGGCTAAAAGAACAACAAAAACTCTAGTGGTGTAGAAATTGTCCTCCCAACTACTCCACCACGTGGTCAACTAGGCTATAACCTTTAAATACTAACCATGGCTATAGATGTTCTTAATTTCAAACACATTTAGCCAAACTCAGAATAAAGTAAATTATTTTAAATTATTTATATTTTACATACATTAATAACATTGAGATAAACTGACAGCAGTGGTTTGATTCTCATTGCAACTGCAGATGAGGACTTTGGAGATGAAGCTAGGATGAAGCAGATCACTCAGTCTCACCACAAGAGTTTAACACTGCATCACACAATCAGTAGATCTGAACTGGTGGTGATCAAATTTCAGTTTTTTTTTTTTGCAGCATTTTAAAGACTTCTTGTTCATTTAGCTCATCCAATTAAATACTGAGATATGACAGTTCATAGCTGACACACAAACAACAAAGGTCCATGAAGGTCCATTTAGTAGCTGTTTCCAGAGCTTTCTTCTGTATATATAAGAGACATTTTGAAACTACAGGTGGGACTGAAACAACAGAGCGATCATCGGTGTTATTCGTTTTACCTTTCCTGTCTTGACCAGTCAACAAAAAAAGTCTTTTTTTAGTGTGTTGAACTGATATCAGATTTGGAAAAGGCAATAAGATTTTCTTATACTTTCTAATACAAATATCTCCAACAGTGCAGATTGAAATATGAAATCAATGTCAACATGTCAGAGTAATTTCCTCCAAATCCAGGATGAGTTGTTTTTTCCTTAGTTTCTCTTAACCAATTGTCCAATTAGAAGACTTTTGAATCTTTTTATTTCAGGTGAGCTCCCTCTCCTCTTTCAGGTGATGGCTCTGCCCTGCCACCACAGCCCTCCGCCCTCCTGTGCCTGTGTCTTTATTATTGGATTCCAGGTTGCTCTTAATTGCATTTTCGCAGCAGTAGGCCTTCATGCGATAAACACTGGCCTTGCTCTTACAGCATCCCATGGCACTCATGAGCTGATATGCATCCTTTCTAAAAGCTTTGGTGAAGATAGCGTAAAGGAAGGGATTGGCACAAGAATTGATGGGGAAGAAGAGGACCAGCAGGATCTTGGAGTTAGTGACTGTGATGAGGGGGACCTTGAATGCAGCAGAGATGGCAAAGAAGGAGATGGGAGCCATGCAGAGGAAATCAGTGAAGATGAGCACAGCCATGCGCTTTGCAATCTTGGTGTCAGCGCTTCTTCTGGGGAACCCTGGGTTTTTCACAGCCAGATAGATCAGCACGTAACAAACACACACGACAACAAAGGCGCCCACGTTGAAGAGCAGGATGATTATGATGAAGGCCTGAGCCAGGGGGGTCTCTATGTCCATTGGTAAGCACATGCTGACTTTGGCATAACTGCTCACGCCAAACAGGGGCAGCATCCCCATCCCCAGACAGATGATCCACCCAGCCGCCATTATGCTCGCTGCCTGTGTGAGTACCAGGTGGCGCTCTATCTGCAGAGCGTTGGTGATGGTGTGCCAGCGCTCCAGGGTGATGGTGGAAAGCGCGTAGACTGACAATTCCCCACCAAACACAGACAGGAAGCCTGCAGCACTACAGCCAGACCCTGTTTGCCATTCAATAGCATGCTGACTGTAGTGGCCCTGTGTGCGGAAGTCTACTGTGGCTATCATTAGGAGGTAGATCCCAATGCAGAGGTCTGCAAAAGCCAGGTGGCACATGAGGAAGCGAGGCACCGTCAGCTTGTTGCGGCTGGTGAAGGAGACCAGGAGGACTGTCAGGTTGCCTGTGATGGCCAGTATGTTGATAAACCAAATGGCCACTCTGAGAAAACTGAAACCTGCAATGTCCTCACAGGGATTGAAAGCATCTGCTTCAGGTGTGCAAACCAAAGTTGGTCGGGTCTGACAGAAGTCCAGCTCTGGATAGTGGAAATTCACGTCTCCAAAGACCTCGTCCTCAGATAAATCAACGTCTGAAAAAAATGGCATATCCATAACTAGAGTCGTGTCTGCTGAATCTCCAATCACACGCTGCACCCTGTTTTCAAAGGAGAAGAACAAGGAGAGAAAATTGTTCTGGTTAGTTCATCTTAAACTTAATAAAGAGTTAAGAAGAGCACTTACACCAGCCTCTCTAAAGTAAAGCCAAACTGTTTTTCCAGCAGAAAGACTGCTTGGCTGATTTTTTATAAGCAGTCAAGGTTTACACAACATGACTGATTGGTTGGTGTATGGGCAGGTTTGTTGCTGCTAATAAAACCTTTTATTCACTACCAAGGCTGCATAGTTTATTTTAACCATTACAGAAGCAGGAAAGCATAACAGTGTTTTACCTTGCTAATTGGTCACTCTCATCACAATATGTAGAGTCATTATTATATGCAGGATTAATGGAAAAGTCCCTGCAGGGAAGAAAGGAAATTATGTAAATGTCAACACAATTGCTTGAATGCAAACACATCTGTGAAATAGCAGTACTTATATATGTGCTTACAGTACAGTTTTAGCATTTACTGAGATGATCCATGAACAAATCTAATCTTGATTAACCTGTAAAATGCACAGTGTGAGTCACCTGTGGGTGTTCCAGCTCAGCAGCGCACAACAGTGACTGTTGTAGGTGAGATGGGCCTCTCGCAGGCTCCACAGTCCCTGCAGAGAAGGCAGACTCTTCAAGGCATACGCTGACTGAGCAAACAACACCAGAACTGACTCCAGTCCCTGCGGTGGCAACATTGTGAGAGCTGTCGCAGAAACGTCCCTGGGAAATAACACAGACAACAATGTGACTGCATGGGGCTATAAAACCCTCTTTGTGAACACTGTGCACTATAAAGTCAATCAAAATAACTCCACCTAGCCTTTAGTCATTGAGCCAAGCTGCATACTTGTGTATATCAGCAGTAAAATACCACCCACTGTTATTATATTAGTATATTACACATCTTAGAAGAATGTGATACGTAATTTTTCTCAATGTTGGCATAAAGCATCATCTTGTTTACTATCTCTCAAGTCTTGACACAGAATTCAAGCAATGAATCTATCAAGACACAAAAAGCGAGTCTACGATTTGAATGGTCAGTTTGACAAACATCCTCCTCCTTCCTCCTCTCCCCAATTAATCTAAGTTAAAAAATGTTGCATTAAGCGAATTAAAAATAACACTTACAAGACTCCAGGGCCTGTGGCTCCTTCGAAAGCATCTCTGTGGATCACTCTGAGGTTTCGATTATTCTTTAATACCCTGAAATGATAAAAGGCAGAATAATGGAGCAAAAGCTTCATGCTGTGAGAAGAAAAACTCACATCATTCAGTCAAAAAAGTAAATGTGGGAAAATACAGCTTATCTATCTTTGTCCCGTTGAAGGCGTAGTCGTGTATTTCTCTGATGCCGTTGTTATACAGGTTCCTGCAATCAGTAACAAGATTTTTATGATTAAATGTGAGATATTACTAACTAGTTTACTAACATTATGCAACATAAAGCAAATAAAAGGAATGTTTTGCTTCACTTACATTGTAACATACTCCTTTGTCATTCCGATGAAAGCGTTAGGAGGTATTTCCAGTAGATACAGGTTATCACATATATCCCTGTAATAGTGCAACAGTTTATGTGTTATGGGGATGTGCTTTTTGTTTTTATTTGTCGTGAGTCTCTTCAACTTTAGCAGCACATGTACTTACAAGATAAACTCGGATTCAAGAGAATTGATATATGTAATGTCAGGGAAAAGGGTTATCCCAGTATTTGAGATGCTCCTGTTAATGCAAAGGAAAACATGGATCATTTTGTGACTTTTAATGTAAGCCAAATGTAAAAAAATCTAGCTGGATTTAATGCCGTTATTACTTGGCATCAGTATAAGTGCAATACAAGTTAGTATTTGTCTGAAATATTCTATTTAGTTATTGCTCAAGTATATGGGATTTGAAAAAATACAGGGGTCTGTCCAATACGTACCTTTAAATCTTAAACAAAAAAAATTATATTGATTTAAACTGTATATTTTGAGGTAATGTAATGTAGTCTTACAAGTAATGTAGTTTGGGGAGGTTATTGAATGTCCTTCTGCCAATGTGCATCAGACTCCTCGTGTTCTGGACTGAGCTGCAAAGCAACACAGAACATCAACTGAAACTCTGCTGCATTAAAAGGAACCATTACTTTTTTAATGATTCATATAAACGTTAAAAAAGACTTACATTTCAGAGAGGTTGAGAAGGTTATTAAAGGCTAATGCCTCAATGGTTTCCAGGGTTACACTCTGAGCAATCTCACTGCGTATAGAGCAGAGACAATGCAATTAAGTCCACCAAAAGAACATGTGTCTTTACATATAACACTGTTTGGTGTGTGAACAGTGTATTCAAACATCAGGACTATGAAGGAGTCATATACTGAAATCAGTCTTTGATCTGATTTGTTAATTAGGTGTAGCTACAAAAACATACAAGGTTAGGGGAAAAAAAATTATAATATAAAATAAATAAAATTGTAAGCATTAAATTGAAATAGCTGAATTGTGGTGAACTAGGATTAGTTGACTAATTCAGAGAATACTAGAAAAGCACAAACTAAAAACTAGAAAACATTTGCAGTTATATGACATTTTAAGTCAGTGTTAGTGGAGGAAAATTGATACCTACATCCTCTGGACTTCTTTTAAACCATCAAAAGAATGGCTGGAAATGGTGTTCAAAGACAAATGATAGAAAAACCTGAAAAAAGAATAAAGAGAGGCACATTTAATTTCAAAATATATAATCATCAAAGTCATCTTAAGTAAGTGATTTTAAAGATGGACAAAAAAAGTAACTATTCTTATGAACAGGGTTTAAATATGCCCTCCAGACCTGTATTAAGACATTAAACCCTTAAAAGCAGATTTTCAATGAGTGGAGAAACTTTACACTTTCGGAGGATGAATGTGAAAACAACCTTCTAGTATCAAACTCTGCACATACATCATTCAACACAGTGAAGCTCAAACATCCAA